ATTCACGTCCTCGTGGAATGGCGCAACTGGTTCAACGGCGCTTTCGTGGTGAACTTGGAGCAGGCCCAGGACTACGCGCGCCGCTTCTTGGGAGGGGCGAACAATCTACAGAAGTCTATGGCCGACGACGCTTTCCGACAGAAGTTCCAGAATATCGTCTACCAGGGCATCCTGGACAAGGCGGCCCCCGACGCTCTGATGCGGGTGCGGCACAAACTCAACCTCCGCCAACTGTGGGATACAACGCTCTTCCCGCAACCACCCGGCACCAGCATCTTGAAGAGCACGCCGCACTACGGGGCGCGCCGGGCCCTCAAACAACTCCAGGAGCTGAGATCGCTTGTGGCGCCACGCGTGCAGTCGGCGGTTTTCAGCACAATGTGGAACAGATGGACCGCCCACCGCCGCTTCCAACAGCGCCATGCCCCTACCAATTGCTGCCTGTTCGGATGCCCACCCGGGGCCGAGGTCTCCATCGAGCAAAACTGCCGGTGCCCATCAACGGCACGGCTGCTGCAACGGCGACTTAAACAGGACGCGTCGATTTTTAGAAATATTCGCACGTTCGTGCTCACCAACATCCACATCAACGACGACGAGACACTCTGCAAGGTGGGGCTGATGATCTACGCGGCTTACAACGCAGTCAACACACTCCGGCACGTCGAGGTGGCATCCGAGGACTCCTTCGACTGCCTGTGCCAGTCCTTGCGGGGGGCGGCCAAGGGGCACAAGTACTCCACTACGGTGCTAGACGGCGCCTTCCAGACACCACGGGGCGCCAGGGGAACTTGTTGCGGTGGTTTCACAGCCATTCGTTTCCCCTAGCCGTCTCTTCGGAGGCCACCCCAGATCACAGGTCCCTCCTGCTGTCGTCCTCCTCGGCGGCGTCGTCGTCGCCGGGGTCGTCGGCGTCGCCGTCGTCGTCGCCGTTTCGTCATCCTTTCTCCTCTCGCCTCTCTCGCTCCTCTGGGCGCCGGCCTCTCTCCCCACTCGGGGGTGGCCCCTGGCTGCGGGCAGCGTGAAGGATGCGGCCTTGTGCGCTCGCCCGCGGGTGCATGCGGCCGCGCCCATCGTTTGGCTTCGGCCTGGCACCACCCCCGCTCGCCCTTGGTTCTCGCCCGTCGTTGCCGCTTGCTGCTGGGCCTGGGGGGGGGTTCTGGGGCTGCTGGCGCGGGTGCGCTACTCGCGGGAGGGTTCTTGTGGCGCGCTTGGTGGAGGACGCGATTTGTCCGCTCTTCGCCTCGGCTGCATGCCCCGTTTCTTCCTCCTCCTTCTTTCTCTCTTTCTCGGAGTCTCCGGCCGGTCGGCCCGAGGCGCCTCCAAATGGCCACCATAGGGCTTGACAGTTTTAATTCCGTTCGAGCTCTCCGGCCGGTCGGCCCGAGGCGCCTCCAAAGGGCCACCGTAGGGCTTAACAGTTTTAATTCCGTTTTCGCCCAGGTTTTTTTCAAAATCTCCGGCCGGTCGACCCGAGGCGCCTCCAAAGGGCCACCGTAGGGCCTAACAGTTTTACTCCGTTTTCGCCCAAGTTTTTTTTCGAACTCTCCGGCAGGTCGGCCCGAGGCGCCTCCAAAAGGCCACTTTAGGGCTTAACTGATTTAGTTCCGTTTGCGCCCAGGCCTTTCTCGAACTCTCCGGCCGGTGGGCCCGAGGCGCCTCCGAAATGCCACCATAGGGCTTAACATTTCTAATTCCGTTTCGCCCAGGCCTTTTTCGAGTTCTCCGGCCGGTCGGTCCGAGGCGCCTCCCTTCTGGCCGCGCCATCTGTCTCGACAGGCCATTTTGGTAGGGAGCAGCACTTGGCCAATTGCTGATCCCTACCAAAACGTCGTTCTGACGTTTACTCCACGCTTGTAGCACGGTGCGCATAGCCAGTCGTTGTCAGTGTAAGACGCAATTGAGATGAGTTTGCTCGTTTCCTCTCCTTCCCCCTGTCTTTCTCTCCTCCCCCTCCGCTGCTCCTCCTCCGCTTCTCGTCTCAACAGCTTCGCATGACGTTGTTTAGAGACGCGGAGCGCCATGAGGCTAGGGGCACGTGCTGGTTGGTCCAGCGTCGACACCAAATCGTGCGCATCGCGGTGACCCTTAATATATTTCAGGAATAGCGGGGATTTCTCCGCTGGGGGCCGCACCCGACATCGGATGCGAAGGTAGTCAAGTGCTCGCGGGGGGGCTTCCGTGCGCATTTCGCACGCGCGTGCCGAGTTCTCTACTTCTTCCTCCTCCTCCTCCCCCCTCTCTTCAGTTGGCCTTTGCCGTCGGCCGCTCGGCGGACGCAAGCCGGGGCTGTGGCAGGATTTGGAGTTGTTTGGGTTGCCATCTTCTCCAATTCTTTACTTCATCGTGCCGCGCCCTTTGTACGATTCCCGAGGGCTGTTTCACTTTGCCTTGGCGATGGGGCCGCCTCGGCTTTCCTTTTCACCCGGAGCTGTGGCTGGGCTTTAAAGTTTACGTGGTCATTCATGGAGCTTGGGGTCAGACCTTCAGCATTTAGGTCTTCCAGTGTCTCTTTTCCTCCCCGCCTCTCCCGGCCTCCCCTCTCTCCTCCTCTTTGTCCCTCCACGATCTCATAATATTGTGTCGGTTATACGGCAGCGGCCGTTGGGGCCTGGCGGCAGAGGGTTACGACACAATGTATGCGACTCCGGCCCGTAAGGTTTTGAGGGCAATTCGTATCACTCGCCATCTTGCTTCCTGCTGGTCTCATTCGGGAGGAAAGGGCGATGATGGTCCTGCGGCAGGGTTGCCTGCCGACTCCCCGGCACGAGGTGGTCGATGATCAAGTGTGTGCGATGTCTCCCTTTCGCCTCTTCCCCCCTCTTCTCCAAAATAGCGCGGAAAAAAACGGAGGACCTCGGTAGCCAGCAGCGTCAGCGTCAGGAGGAGGATGAGGAGGACGAGGAGGAGTACAGTGGAAGCCGATCCTTTGCAAGGATACCCTTGCATCATTGCCTCTTCGGTCCATCCTGAACCACTTTCGATGGCCAGTCCCTCTCGACTAGCTTCGACATGCATCCTTCTCGCGCATCCTTCCTATCACTTTTGACACTGCAGTGAAGACGCCGAAACACGCAGCAGTTCGGGTTCGGAACGGGCTCGCCGTGCCCTGTGCCCTTCCATGGTTGGCTATCCAGCTTTTTCGGTACAAACACCTGCTGCTGGGGCCAACACAAAGGCTAACGTTCCTTCTGGCTGTAGCTTGCGTGCATGAGGTGGGGGAGTGAGGCGGATGAGGCGCCCTTCCTGCTGCACAGGGCCTCGAGGAGGGGATGGAGCTGTACCGGTCTGAGGGCAGCGACTGGTGTGTCCGGCTGTGGGAGATCCCGGAGGAGCTCGGGCCGGTAGGGATGAGGAGGACGAGGAGGAGGACCGGTAGGATGAGGGGGGGAGGAGGAGGATGAGGAGGCGAAGAGGAAAAATAATAATAGAAGGAGGCGGCGGAGGAGGAGGAGGATGGGAGGATCAAGGGGGAGGAGGAGGAAGGGGGTGGAGGACCAGAAAATGGAGGAGGGGGGCGGGGGTGGAGGAGGAGGGGGAGGACGAGGCACGACGAGGAAGGAGTATGAGGAGGAGGAGGAGGAGGAGGAGGAGGAGGAGGAGGAGGAGGAGGAGGACGGACGAGAGCAAGGAGGGTGAGGCTGAGGTGGACGAGGCAAGGAGGGCAGGAAGGAGCTCGGGCTGACTGGGCCCGTTCTCGTGGGGGACACCATCGGGACCGGCACGACGCTGGCGGGTGTGCTCGGCTGGCTCACGGAGAAGATGGCCGCAGCCAGCTGCGTGCAGGACGTCCATGTGTTCACGATCGCCGGCGCAGCCGCCTGGGGCACCGACGGTGGCGCGCTGAAGAAGCTCGCCCCGGTTGACGAGGCACTCGCGGCGCACGGCAGGCAGCTGACGGTGACCTTCTGCAACGCTCGATTCGCGCTGCAGGCCTTTTGCCGCACAGCGGGCACACCGAATCATACATCGGCCAGCCAGCGGGTGCCTCACGAGAGCTTCTCATCTTCCGAGGGGCCCGCAGAGCCCTGAGCACCGCACGAAGCTCGGAGCCGACGAAGGATGTGCCCCCCGAGAGATTTTGACCCTGGGCAAGGGATCTCCTGCCGTGTGTGCCCGCTGCCGCAGGCCTCAGAGCGGCGCGGGCGTACCATGTCGGAGCTCCGCGCGGCTCCCGTCCGTCGGCGCGACGGTGCCAGACCCGCCCCTCCCGCCCCCCCCCCCCTGCACGCGGAGGTTGGCAGAGCTTGACGTGTGCATTTTTCCTTCGGCGAGGACCAACGAGGCGCATCCTGGATCACTTGGCGAAGAAGCCACGCACGAAACCGAAAAAAAAGCACAGGGAATGGACGTCCGAGCGAGGGCCAGAGAGCCCCCACCGTGCCACGCCGATGCGCGCCCTGCCCCCCCTCGGCTCTCGACGCGGCGCTGCGGCCGCGCCTCTCTCTCTGGCGGGCCTGCGCCCGCTGGGCCCGGCCTCGGGCCGGCTCTTCCCCGCCGGCTGCTCTGCCAGCAGGGGGCCAGGCCCGCAGCGCCCCCCCTCGGCTGCCTCCGCAGCGCGGCGTGGGCCCGCGCCGCGCCGCTGCGACCGCGAACAAGGTTTGCCGAAGTGGGTCCTGTCCACCGTCCTCCTCCTCCTCCTCCTTCTCCTCCTCCTCCTCCTCCTTCGCCCTCCTCCTCCTCCGCCCTCCGCCCTCCGCCCTCCGCCCTCCTCCTCCTCCTCCTTCCTCCTCCTCCTCCGCGCCTCCGTCCGCCCGCCTCCTCCTCCGCCCTCCGCCCTCCGCCCTCCTCTCCTCCCATCCTCCTCCCTCCGCCCCCTCCTCCTCATCCTCCGCCCTCTCCTCCTATCCTCTTGCCTCCCCCGAGCGCGCTCTGCGAATAGCGAGCCTGGCGGCCGACCACCGTGAAGACCGCGCTGGCCTTCTCGAGAGTGCACCCTCGTGCCGTGCAGAGACTCGTTTTCGTCGGCCCCCTCGTCCGAGCACAACGCACCGGCCTGAGCCCTGCCCTGCTGGGTCAGTGTGGCGCCGGAGGCGCTGCGACTGGTCACGGAGATCGAGGGGAGAAACAGGCTGACCGTGATCAGAGAACAAATGGCGCAGGGCCCTGTCGGCGCCGATCTCTGTCATGGTCCACCCTGGCCCTGGTCCACCCGGGCCGCCGCCGACCCGCGAGGACGATCTCACCGAAGCGACCGTGACCAAGATCGCACCCACCGACGTTTCCGCCGTCAGTCTTGGTCATTTCCATCGGCGTATCGCCAACAACAAATACACCCCCCCACTCCCGGCCCCTCCCTGTTTGCCTTCCACGCAGAGCCCGAGCCAGAATCATGGCCCGTGGCCCTTGGATGCCGTATACGTGGGGTGTCGTCCGTGTGCTCTCTCCGTCCATGTGCCCCTCGTGGCTCCCTGCCTCCAGGGCTCCAGGAGGAGCTGGGCGACCCGGGCCTTCCTGTGCGGCTCAGTGCGCCTTGTGGGCTGGGGCGCCGGTCGGCGCGGGCAGGCGAACCCGAGGTCCGAGGCACCACCTTGCCGAGGTCCGGAGTATCTTGGCCTGCCTTCGGCGGAGCCGTCAGGCCGTGCCGGCCTGCATCTGTCGGGATGGGCAAAGCACACAGACACAGTAATCGTGTCGATCCCCAGGAAAAGATTGGAACATATGGGAAGAAGGGGGGAAGACAAAAACCCAGAAGGTATGTGAACATATGGGGAAGCCGGTTATTTGTGTGTGGTTATTTTGTGTGTCCCAGGGCCCCTTCAATCTTGGGTGGCGACCTGCTCGGGGGGCGCGCACTTCTCTTGCCAGCGATTAATATGGCAGCCCGGTGGCAGAGTGCGGGGGGACGACGCGGCACGACGACGAGAACGACGGACGACCGACGAAGGGCAAACGCGGGGGAGGGGGGGGGGAAGGGGGGGGGGAGGAAGCGGGAGGGGAAAACGCGCCGGGCGCGCGCCCGGGCCCTGACCAGGGGGCCCAGCGCCGGGCGGGGGGGGGGGGGCGGCGCGCAAAGGATGTGGTCGGGGAAGCGCAGGGTTCGAGGGCGCCAGGCCTCGGGTGGGCCGGCGCTTTCCGAGGAGCGCGCCCATGGATTCTGACGGTCCAGCCTTCGCGGGAGGTGTTGCAGCGGGAGTTCCCAGCGTGTCGACCGCGCGTGCGGCTCGGCCTGGGCGCATCGGCGCCACCGAGGCGGCACAGGGAGTGACCCTTATGCCGCGGCAAATAGCGAAAATAGCGGGAGTTCGCGTCAGGTTTCAGATCGGGCCTCGTCATTTTCAGGATGGCCCCTACCAGGCCAAGCCGGGTCCGCCGAGCCCGAGTCCGACGTCTCTCCCCGAGCTGGGGCTCCCATCTGAGAGCTCTACAGGAGGCCGCAGCTTGTGACACCTCGTGTTGCGCTTCCGGCGCTTGCCGTTCGTGTCCAGAATGGTTCCAAGAATAAGCGTTTTGCCCGAGGCATCCTCACCACATTGCGGTGTTGGAGGTTCTGGCTCAAGACGTCTCCGGTTAAAGCATGAGTGGTTCGCTTGAGACATCCTCAGACCACTTTTCTGATCTTCGAACATGGGGTTTTCGCTTGAGATATCCTTGAAACAGTGAGATGTCGGGGGCTCTATTTTTGGACCCCATTTCTTAAATATTGGCGTTCCTTTTGAGACATCCTCATTCCATGGGGATGTTGAACTCGCTTGCGTAATCGTCGGATCTTCGAACATGAGGCTCTTGCCTGAGACATCCTCGACACAATGAGATATCAAAAGAGGTGTTTTTCGATGTCGTCTTCTGTGTCTCTGGGAGGACCCCAATGCGGCACAAGAGGCGAAATCATTGAACATGAGCGGTTCGCCTGAGACGACCTCAGACCGTGGGGACGTTGAACTGGCTGTCTTACTTTTTTCGGATCTTCGACAAGTGGACTTTCGCCTGAGACATCCTCGAAGCAATGAGATGTCGAAGGCTATCGTTTACGAGCTCGTTTCGCAAACAGTGAGCGTTTCGCCTGAGATACCCTCACGCAGTGTGGATGCTGAAATCGCTGGCGTAATCGTCAGGTCTTCGAAATGAGGCTTTCGCCTGAGGCATCCTTGAAACAAGCAGACATCAGAAGAGTGATTGTCGATGTCGTCTTCGGTTTTTTTGGGAGGACCCCCAAGACGGCCGAAACTGCTAAATAATCGAAACACCAACTCTTATTCAATACTTTTGTTCAAACGTCATCGTTTCCTTCGAGACATCCTCAACACATGAGTTCGGGCAGGCCACCAACACAGACTGTCATGATGACGATGCTCATTATGATGACGATGCTGCTGATGAGGTTGCTGCTGCTGATGATGCTGATGCAGATAATAATGATGATCATGCTGATGATGATGTTGATGACAGTGATGATCATGACCATGATCATGATCATGCTGCCGCTGATGATTATAATGCTGATGTCGATGGTGCTGATGATGGTGATCATGATCATAATCATGATGACGATGCTGCTGATGATGCTGATGATGGTACTGATGATGGTGGGGTTGGCGGTAGTGTCGGTGACGATGATGACGAGGGCGAATGATGGTTGAGGTGAGGGGGTGGTCGGAGAAAACTGGAGGCGTTAGGAGAAGTGAGGAGGATCATCAGGGACAGACCTGTGAATATTCAGGGAGCGCGTGTCCAAGCGTATCCCCTTGTGGACGTTCATAGAGCTCGCCTACATTACATGTTATCGATATGTTGCTGCACGTTATTGAGCAGCTCTGCGATTTCTCTCGCTTCCCGTTCGTGCCAAGAACGGTTCAGGAGGGATCATGGCCTCGGAATCGCGTGTTCCTCTTTGCGGTAAAGGGGGAAGGGGGAAGGGCGATGCATGTGAGGCCGTATATAACGAGATGGCGGGTGGCCCTAGAAAATAACAGAAGTCATACGAGACAGCCCTCGGCATTCAACCACGTCTCAACGTGCCAGGGGGCACGGTGGCGGACTTTGAGGCGCAGGAAGGTTGCCCGAAGTACATCCTAGACGGCATCCGGTCACGGTTGGCGGCAATGTGACCTTCCTTCTGCCCTGCGGTGTCACGGTTGGCCAGAAGAACGCAGCCCACTTCCCTCCCCGTCTCTCCCTCCCCTTTTGGCTCTTCGTTAACGAAAATATATATGTATCCGCGGCCTCGCGGGCCGGTCCCCTGGGCCGCGACCCCGCAGACACGGAGCGTTTTTTCGCGGATGCCCTGCGAGAAACGTATCTGTGCGACCGCGTATCCGCGGGATTGCGCCCTGGAGTCCAGACCGCGAGGGCGCGGATACGGATATGTTCGCCGCTCGTGAGCTCTCCTCGCCCTCCCGACACCAACAGTCTCCATCCCAACTCGCTCTCCGCCATCCTCTTCTGCCGCCCGAAGCTTCCTCTTCCGACTCCTTCTCAAAGTTGGTGCTCCTCTTCGTTCGGTCGTCACTGCCAGTCAGTGACAACGCCACTGGTATCAAAGCTTGTCGGGCAGCGGAAGCGCCAGTGCATGAGTGAATGATCGGCCGCAGCAAAGGGTGGAGGATGAAGGGAACGTGGATCCGAACCCGGCCTCCTCCCTCACTCCCTCTGCTCTCCTCCTCCCCCCCTCCCCCATCCTCCCTGAAAAACTTACACCAGTGAACTGATCCTGCCCTCAGTAAACTGATACACTCCCCAGTATAAGCTCTAAGAGTCTTCCGACGAGGGTTCTGAGGAGGGTTCTGAGGAGCTCCCGAGGAGCTTCTGAGAAGCTTCTGACGAGCCCTCGAGGAGCCTCCGAGTAGCCTTTGAGGAGCCTCTGGGGAGCCCCGGATGACGATATGATGATGATGCTGCTGGTGATGATGATGATGATGATGATGATGATGATGATGATGATAATGATGATTATGTTGATGATGATGATGATGATGACGATGATGATGATGACTATGATAACGGTGATACTGCTGTTGACGATGATGATAACGGCGGCGACGAAGATGATGATGTTGATGATTATGTTGATGATGCTGATGATGATGCTGATGAGGAGGATGATGATGATAATGCTGATGATGCTGCTGATTAAGATGACGATGCTGATGATGTTGTTGTTGATGATGGTTATGATAATGATGATGGTGGTGGTGGTGGTGATGGTGATGCTGTTGTTGTTGTTGTTGTTGTTGTTGTTGTTGTTGTTGTTGTTGTTGTTGAAGAACCACAATGTCTAAATAACTAATATGGTTGGACCCCCTGAATCCTCTATGGCGCTCTGCCCTAAGTGCCGCTGCATTTCCTTTGAAATCGAGGCTCACGCTCAGGCGATTCGGGGGTGCGCCGAAACAGGCCTCCCAACAACAACAACAACAACAACAACAACACTAACAACAACAACAACAACAACAACAACAACAACAACAACAACAACAACAACAACAACAACAACAACAACCACAACGCTCCCGCTCGATACTGCCTCCTTTTCTACTCGGGACCGGGGCTCTTGCTCGCCGCCGAGAGCGGGCGTTCCCACACAACCGGCGCTCCCGCTCGACAGTTCTCTGCTCTTTCCTCAGGACCGGCCGGTCCCGCCTCGGCGCCGCAAGCGTGCCACCCCTGCAAGCAGCGACGCTCCCGCTGGATGCTTCCTCCGCGTTTGCGCCAGACTCCCAGAGCCTGGGGGGCTTCCCTCAGGAATGCAGCCCACACTGCTCCTCCTCCTCCTCCTCTTCCTCCTCCTCCTCCTCCTCCTCCTCCTCCTCCTCCTCCGCCTCCTCCGCCGCCTCCTCCTCCTCCTCCTCCTCCTGGGGTGTCCCTACTGCCCATCCTCAGGAGTACAGCCTGCACCGTCGGAGGTCTGCACCGGTGCCTCCCTGTGCGTTCCGCGTGCCAGAGGCGGCCCGAGAGCCCGCGGCGGCGGCCCCGTCGTCGTCGTCGTCCTCCTCCTCCTCCTCCTCCTCCTCATCCTTCTCCTCCTCCTCCTCCTCCTCCTTCCTCCTCCTGCTCCCCCCCC